CTCCGCGGCGAGGGCCACCGAGGAGTATCCTGGATCAGGTGGGGAACAAAACGCGCACGAAGGCAGGTTGGCTTGTGCGCCGCTCCTTGCTTTGAAGTGGTCTCTCTCGCCTCTCCCCCTCTCCTCTCCCCCTCCTCTTCTTCCTCCTCGGCCACCCGCCCGGGCAATCATTGTCACGGGTGGCTCCTTGCGTAGGCCCCCGTCTGCCGCGGGGGGGCAGGACTTGTCCGCCCCGGCCGCTTCCCGAGCAGAGCCGTGGCGGGACCTTCGGAGCTCCGTGGTCGCTCTCCGCTCCTCCCCCCCCCCCAAAAAAAAAGCAAGCGCGCACGACGCCGAGTCGCTGGCCATCGCTCGGACGTCCACTTCCTGTGTTTTTTTCGGTTCCGTGCGCGTTTTTTTCGCCAGATGATCAAGGATGCTCCTCGATGGTCCTCGCCGAGGAAAAAACGCACACGTCCGAGCGATGCCAGGCCGAAGCATACACGAGGAGTGGGCGTCCGCGCGAGGGCGGGTCCTGCCCTGCTCGTGGCCGGTTTTTTTCTTCTTGTCACCGTGCGCGGCCTCCGAGGGGGTGCCCGTCTCGGGCGCTGGGGGGGCCGTCGGGAGCCGGCGCGGGGCCCGAGAGGCCGCCACGCGCCCTCCGGGCGCTCGAGAGCTGTCTTTTGGAAGCCCTCGGGGCCGGAAGGCGCCTGGCAGGGCCCGGCTCGGACAAGGAGCACTTTTTTGATCCGCGGGTCGGGAGCGAGCCTCTTCCGGTCGAAGCTGAGCGGGCCGCGCATTGACAGAGGGGGGAAGGCAGGAGGAGGGGCCTCACGTCAAGGCCAAGAGAGGGCAAAGCCCCGGGATCAAAACTTGAACAAGGAGCACCTACTTTTCAAGAGGGGCTCGGCCGTGCTTTTGGTTTGCCTGCGTTCCGCTACCGGTTGGGCGGCGAGCCCCCCTGGTGTTCCTTCGGGCTTCCTGTACCTCCTTGGAAAAATGGGGCTTCGTTCCGTATTTATCGTTCCTCAGGTCAGGCCGAATATTGTATGCTCCCGACCCTTCCCCCCCCCCCCCGGAAGGTAACGCTCCCCCCCTCAGTGCGCTCCTGGCACTGCCGCAGTGCGTCCGGCACCAACCACAGTCTGAGGAAGGGCCACTCCCCCTCCCGTCCCCCCCCCGCTACCCCCCCCCCTTTGGCCGCGAGTTCAAAAGCGCGCTCTTCCCAGGACGCTCTCGGGCGGCTGCGGTTTCCGATGCACCTCCCAGACCCGCCGGTGCAGAAATGCCTGACGCGCCCTCGACTACTTCAAATCCCTTGTTAATCGTCCCCGGGGTCCGGTTTCTTAAGGCGCCTGTGTGTAACTGGGGAGGTCCGGTTTATTAGGGCGCTTTCTTTGGATTGGAGCTTAGGGGGTCCGGTTTATTAAGGCGTCCCGTCGAAGAGGGGGGTCCAGAATATTTTAGGTCACATTCGGAGGGGGGTCTGGTTTTTTAGGGGGGTCGATTAAGAAGGGATGTGGAGTAGGGGAACGACAAATGACATGTATAAACACAAAAACTCGGAGGTCCGCGCGGATCTCTCGGGTCGGCGCCCGACCCTTCTCTCCCTGGCGCGCGGGGCGCGCCAGGGGCGGCGCCGGAGGCGCCGCCCCAGGGCGGTCCAGCGCCAGTCCCAGAAATCCGCGCGGACCTCCGATTGTTTTGTATTTCTGTCATTCTTCGTTCCCCTATCATTAAGTCGGGCCTGTCCCTCTACAGGAGGAATATTCAAACACAGTTTCAAAAATAGTATGGGGAGAATTTTGTTGAAGTTTTTTGGATTATCCGTAAGGGCTTCGCCCCATGCCGCCGGCCCCCTTTCTCGGATAATGGGAGATGCAAAAGCTAAATCATGAGGTCTGGGCGCCGTCGTGAAGCAGTGTCGGGACCTGTTTGTTTTTCGATCCTGAACCTACGGATCTGCGTCACGGGTGCCACCGAATTTCAGAAATGTGGCAAATCCATTATGTTTTTGGACTGACCCTACGGATCTGTGTGAGGGGTGCCGCCGAATTTCAGAAATGTGGCGAATCCCTCTTGTGTTTTTGGACCCTGACCCCGCCGATCTGCGTGAGGGGTGCCGCCGAATTTCAGAAATGTGGTAAATCCTTTGTGCTTTTAGACCCTGACCCTGCCGATCTGGGTAAGGGGTGCCACCGAATGTCAGAAATGTGGCAAATCCCTTGTGTTTTTGGACCCTGACCCCGCCGATCTGCGTGAGGGGTGCCACCGAATGTCAGAAATGTGGCACATCCCTTTTGTTTTGTTCCCTGACCCCGCCGATCTGCGTGATGGGGTGCCACCGAATATCAGAAATGTTGCAAATCCATCTGTTTTTGGACCCTGATCCCGCCGATCTGCGTGATGGGGTGCCACCGAATGTCAGAAATATGGCAAATCCCTTGTGTTTTTGGACCCTGACCCCGCCGATCTGCGTGAGGGGTGCCACCGAATGTCAGAAATGTGGCACATCCATTTTGTTTTGTTCCCTGACCCCGCCGATCTGCGTGAGGGGTGCCACCGAATGTCAGAAATGTGACAAATCCCTTGTGTTTTTGGACCTTGACCCCGCCGATCTGGGTGAGGGGTATAAGTTTTTACCCACCCCAGCAATTCAGAGCACACGCTCAGGGCGTGGTAAAAATGCCAGTTTGGGGCCTCCCCTCGCGCGGTCCATCAACAAGGAACAGTAAGCAGCAAGAAGTCAACAAGGAACAGTAAGCAGCAAGAAGCATAACTGTAATAGTGGAAACTGGAAGCTGCAACTGGTACAGGAAACTGCGAAGCTTCGGCCTACAGCCTGTTGGCCCCACAAGGGGGCCGGCGGATTTTGTTGGGTATTCTATATTTTCGTACAGAATCCGCCTGTAGGGGGACAGGACCGTCTTGAACCTATCAACGGACTTTGTCCTCCTCCGCTCCGATTCGGTCTGGAGCGTCGGGCGATCTGGGGCGGCCACCGATGCCTGCGCGGCTCGGCGCAGCGGTGCGCGCTGGCGCGGTCGAGCCGATGCGATTTCGATGCGGCGCCGACCCCGAGATCCGCTGTTGCGAACAGCATTCAAATACAGTGGAGGCCCATGCCAAGAAGCACCCTGCTTGCCTCCAGGGTGCCCTGGGCTTCTTGGGTGTCGATGCTTTTGCTGTGGACAGTGTGGCGTCCCCACGCTCGAAATCAGTGCACGTCCGGGGGTCTCAGGGTCGGGTTTCTCGTGGGAGGTTTCTTTGTGGTCGCGCCCCCACTGTACCCTGTACCCCCAGCAATCACGACTGGGGCCCTCGACCGACCCCCTCTTTCCGCGGCATCTGTCGAGCCGGCTCGCGATTTGCGATGGTCTCTGGGCGCGCAAACGGGCGAAACCTTGTGGGGTGAGAAAACTACAGCGCACGGATCTGAGGGCATGGCGTCCGATCCGATGCATGCTCCGATCTGATCCGACTGCCGACCGCTCGTTGCCTTGCACCGTCGGGGGGCTTCTCTTGTTTTGTACATGGCAGTATGTTCTTGTACTCCGACGTGGTTTCCACGCGTATTCGACGTGGATTCGACGTGGACTCGACACGGATTCAACGCGTCCAACATGATGTCGACATGTATGCGACACGAATTGCTGGCGCGATGGGACAGACGAGGTCCCCCAACGAGGCAACATAACCCATCGAGTTGCCAGACTCGTTGATCGGCGAGGGCAGGGTTCGCATTTCGCCGCCGAGATTGCCGACCGTTCGCTGCAGTGGGGGCAAGATTTCTATTCATATCCAGCGCGTCATGGACTTTCTGGGACGGGGCGTCAAAAGGCCGACGCGCAGTGGGTATGGATCAAACTCTAACCCCCAGGGGCCAGACTTTTTTATCCATGTCCACTGCGCCTCTGCTTTCTGAAAGGATGAAGGGGCCCGGAACTCCAAGACGCAGCGGATGTTGATGCAGTCAAGACGCCGGAATCCGGACCGTTTTGGGCTCAGGAAGGGCTTGAGTTCTCGGGCCTCTCCTCAAACTTCTGCTTAGGTCGGGCATGTCCCCCTATAGGCGGATTTTGGGCGAGAAATAAAGAAATACCCCAAAACTTTTCAAACATTTTGAGAACGTATTCAAAAAATCGTCCCCATTTTATTTTGTGACTATTTTTGAGCATTCCCCCTGTCGAGGGACAGGCCCAACTTAAACCTATGCCGTGGAGCCTGCTGGGGGCCCGGGCCCGCCGCGGCTAGAAGAGCCCCACCCGTTGCTTCTTTGTGCGTCCCATCTGGTGGCACGCTGACTGCACCAACCTTGCCCGCACTGCATCGGGCGGCGAAACCTATGCATAGCCACTGCTCCCCCGGCCAGGCCCACTCCCGAGCCCAGGAGCTGTGCACGCGCCCGCCTGGCCGAGCCAGGAGGGCGTGGGGCAGACAGCGCGGTTGGGTTCCGGAGGGGCCTGGCCAGGGAGCAGTGGATACGTACAGATCTCGTCGCCCGCTGCATCCGAGGCGGGCATTTTTCCATCTGCACCGCCTGGGAGGTCGATTCTCGCGGACCTCCACAGGCGGTGGATCTGGATACATCCGGGCCCTCGGGGGCCAACATGCATCCAGATCCACCGCCCGCTGAGGCACCAGGACGTCGGTTCCCAGGCCGCGGATACAGTCGGCCCGGATTAGTGGATCGACCCTGCCAGCTCAAGGGTACCCTTGTGTCCTGTGTCTCGCGACCCGTGCCTCCTGCATTCCTGCGGCAATGTGGCCCTCGGCAGGGTCTGGTGTCCTCTCGCGGGTCCTGTCCAATCGAGTCCGCCTCCTGCATTCCTGCGGCAATGTGGCCCTCGGCAGGGTCTGGTGTCCTCTCGCGGGTCCTGTCCAATCGAGTCCGCCTCCTGCATTCCTGTGGCAATGTGGCCCTCGGAAGGGTCTGGTGTCCTCTCGCGGGTCCTCTCCACTCGAGCCCGGCTGTGAGCTCCCGCCCCGCACTGCAGGGCGCCTGGCGGCGGCTGCCCCCGATGCTGCGGCGGCGCGACTACTGCGCGGCGGCCGAGCTGGGGGGCCGCGTGTACGTGGCGGGAGGCCACCGCGCGCCGGCCGCTGGCCGCCGGGCGTGGCCCTTCGGTCGCCGGCCGCCGCGTCGTCGTCGTCGTCGTCGTCGTCGTCGTCGTCGTCGTCGTCGTCGTCGTCGTCGGTTCGTCGTCATTGTCATTAACTCCTTCGTCGGTCGCCGTCGTCATTATCCCGCTCGTCGACCGTCTGGGGGTTGGAGCCAGCCAGGGGCCTGAGGTGGCCCAGCACTGCACGGTTCCGGCCAGCAGGAGTGGGGGGGGGGGGCAGGTTCTCGGGAGCGGAAAAGAGGGGGGTGATGACTAGGGGGGGGTGGATATCATGGCGTGGGCCATGAGATTTCCCCAGATTTCATGGCGCCTCTTCTTATTTCATTACGTCCCTGGCCCCCCCGCTGGGCCGCGCACATGCCGCGGGTCATGATTTGCACACCCCCCTCTTGGACACCCCCCTCTTGGCCGCTCCCGAGGTTCGAGGTTCAGGGGTCGGGAGGGGCTATGGCCTTTGAGGCCTCCCAGGGCTGGGTTCGGGCCCAGGGACCGTGAAAGACGGATCTGGGGTTCTACACCAGATGGACCGTGGCATTGGTCCGGGGACTGATTTTGAACGGATTTGGCTTCTTCCCCCGCTGCTTCTCGATTTTCTGGGGTCTAAACAAGTTTATCCCCCCCAGCCGCCCGCAAGACTCCGCCTTGTCTCAGAGGAGCAAGACGTTGGCGGCGGCCCTCAAAGGGGGTCTCGATGCTCTGGCACCACCCCCTCGTCGGCGCCGCCAAAGACGTCGTGAAGATGGTGCGCTCCAAGGTTTCCAGGTGTTCCTGTCGTGCCCCGCGATGCCAGAGACGAGTGGTCGGGCACGAGTGGTCGCTGCCGCCAGAAGCCCTCCGGAAATCCCAGAACGGACCCTGAGCCAAGCGTAATTATCGCAACATGATTCTCGTACCATTCGGCGGCGAGCGAGAGGGGGAAGTGAGAAGGAGAAGGCCTCCTCAGAAGGTTCGGGAGTCCCCCGCCCTTCCGAGAAGTTCTCGAATCCTTTCCCGCAGACAAACAATTTCTCAGAAGGCGCGAGGGCTTCTGAGAAGTTCCGCCGCCTTCTGAGAAGGCCTTCTCCTTCTCACTTCCCCCCCCCCGCTCGCCGCCGAGTACCATCGTCCCGGGCCGTCTGTCGGGCAATGGGCCTCGAGGGCCCTCTGGTCGGGCGCCCCTGAGATCTGGGCGTTGCAATTTTTGTTTGCGCACCGGCGTGTTCGCCAGGTTTCGGGCCCTGGGGCCCTCACGGATCGATCCAGCTCGGAAGAGGCCGCAGATCGTGATGTTTCGAGATGCAATAGCTTTCTCTTATGGGGCGGCGGTGCCATGCGGACGCTTCCGCTGGGGCCTTCGGTGGAGCTCCCTATTGGGCCATGAACCGTGTGAGGGGCGTGCCAGAATAGGGCGGCGGTGCGATGCGGACCCTCCCGCTGGGGCCTGTCTGTATGCATGTATGTATGTATGTACGAATGTATGTATGTATAAATGTATATATGTATGTATGTATGTATGTATGTATGCATGTATGTGTGTATGTATGTATCTATCTATCTATGTATGTATGTATCTATGTATGCATGTATGCATGTACGCATGCGTGCATGTATGCATGTATGTATGTATGCATATGTGTATGTGCGCATGTATTCATGTATGCATGTATGCATATATGCATGTATGCATGTATACATGTATGCATGTATGGATGTATGCATGTGCGGATGTATGTACGTATGTATGCATGCATGCATGCATGCATGCATATATGTATGTATGCGTGTATATAGGTTTGTATGCATGCATGCATGGATGCATGTATGCATGCATCTATATGTATATTGTATACATGTGCATGTACGTATGGGTGTGTATGTGTGCATGTATGTATGTAGGTAGGTAGGCAGGTAGGCAGGTGTGTATGCATGCACGCATGTATGCATGTACGTTTGTATATTTGCATGTTTGTATGCTTGCATGTCTGCTTGTTTATGCAGATATGTACGTAATTATGTATGTATGTATGTATGCACGTATGCATGTACGTATGTTTGTATGCATGTATGTAAGTATGTATGTATGTATGTGTGCATGTACGTATGTATGCATGTAGGCATGTATGCATATATGCATGTATGCATGTATGCCTGTATGCATGCATGCATGCATGCATGTATGTATGTATGCACTTGGGTATGTATGTATGTACGTATGTATGTATGTATGTTTGTACGTGTGTTTGTGCGCACGTATGCATGTATGCATGTATGCATATCTGCATGTATGCATGCATGCCTGTATGCATGTATGGATGTATGGATGTGTGGATGTATGTACGTATGCATGTATGCATGCATGCATGTATGTATGTATGTATGTATGTATGTATGTGTGCCTGTGTGTATTTAAGTATGCATGCATGCATGCATGTATGCATGTATGCATGTATGCATGCACGCATGTATTCACGCATGCATGTATGTATACAGATATGCATGCATGCATGCACATCTCTCTCTATATATGCATGTATGTATGCATGTGTGTATGAACGTAGGAATGTATGTCGGTAGGTAGGTAGGTAGGTAGGCAGGTAGGTAGGTAGGTATGAAGGTAGGTAGGTAGGTAGGTAGGTAGGTAGGTAGGTAGGTAGGTAGGTGTGTATGCATACATGCATGTATGCATGTACGTTTGTATGTTGCATGTTTGTATGTTTGCATGTGTGCTTGTTTATGCATGTATGTACGTACGTATGTATGTATGTATGCATGTATGCATTTATGTATGCATGTATGCATGTACGTATGTATGTATGCATGCATGCATGCATGCATGCATGTATGTATGTATGTATGTATGTATGTGTGTGTATGTATGTGGGTAGGTCGGTCGGTAGGTAGGTAGGCATGTATGTACGTACGTAGGTCGGTAGGTAGGTCGGTAGGTCGGTAGGTACGTAGGTATATAAGTAGGTCGGTCGGTCGGTCTGTAGGTAGGTCGGTAGATATATTGGTAGGTAGGTAGGGAAGGAGGGAGGGAGGTAGGTAGGTATGTCTCTATGTGTGTATGTTTATACATACGTATATGTACATACATGTATATGGAAACGTATATAGGTATATGTACATGTGTATATATGTATACACTGTCGCATCGTCGGACCTGAGGGGTCGCGCAATGCCAATATCGGGCGGGTCCAGGCATGAGCTCCAGAGCGGTCCGCAGCACTCTTGAACGGCTGCGACGTCCGATGCATCCTCCAGGACTGCCAGAACTCAGAGCTCCCGACTTGTCCTGGTCCGACTTTGACCCGGCCCTGGCTTCCTGTTCGGTGGGGCGGCACCCTTGTCAGGGGCATCGGCATCGGGGGGGCGGCTCAGGTGGGGAAGCATCGACCGCGGCTTGCCCATTTATCGCCGAACGGGGCCCAAGAAATAGCCCACAGCCCCGCCCAGGAATATGCGGCTCCGCTATCCGGGGCCTATTGCCGCTTTTCGAAGAAGAAAAAACGCAATGAGCACAAACTTTTGGCGTTCCGCGCGAATTCATTGGATCCGCCCGGGTGGCCTACGGGCGGGACCCAAAGTGGTCCCGCTTTGAGGGACCGTCCGCGCGCGTTAGTTCCTTGCCGCTTGCTCGACTTATTCCGCCTCGTCGCTGTGCGCGAGTCCATTTATCTACATACATACATACATACATACATGCATACATACATACATACATACACATATTTACATACATACATTCTTGCATACATACATACAAACAAACATAAAGACAGAGACAGACAGACAGACAGACAGACAAATAGACTGGCAGACAGGCAGACAGACAGAGACAGACAGACAGACAGACAGACAGACAGAGACAGACAGACAGACAGACAGACAGACAGACAGACAGACAAATAGACTGGCAGACAGGCAGACAGACAGAGACAGACAGACAGACAGACAGACAGAGACAGACAGACAGACAGACAGACAGACAGACAGATCTATACCAGATCTATACATATCTATGTTTGTGTGTGTTACCATGCGCAGCCGCGCCGACTGTGCGCAGCCCGTGCCGGCCAGTGTTGGCCCTTCTGTTGCACGGCCTGCGTTGTGTTGAGAGGCTTCGGTGGGCAGGCGCGCGTGGGCGCCGCTTGACACTGGCAGGCTCCTGAGGGCGGGGGGCGGCTGCTCACTGCCGCTTCCCTGCTGCATCCCGCGCATCCTCCGGTGATTTCGCGTTCCCGGGGGCCGTGCTTCGGGCACGGCGGCGGCGACGACGGCAGCAATGACGACGATGATGCCGGCGACGATGACGAGGACGGCGACGTCGACGACGATTGAGACGGCGACGACGACCAGGACACGGCGACAGCGACGGCGACGACGGCGACGCCGACGATCAAGCCAGAGGAGAACCACGAGCTTCAGAGAACAAATCTCCGAAGCAGAACGCGCTCCCGAAGTGTGTGAGAACAGGCCACCGACACCGGTACCTAAGAACACGCCACCGCCGTCGCAACGACGGTGACGACGGCGACGACGTGCGCGCGCTCGCGCGCTCGTGCGGCAGGTTGTTGCTTCGAGTCCGCCGACGTGGAGCCAGAGGACATCGACAGCGACGCGGGTGGCCGCGTCGTGCGGCGAGTCTTGCACATGTAGTCGGAGGTTGATAGTGCCCCCACCCTGCCAAGTCGATCAGCGAGTTGTTTTCGTTCCTGTTCTCGAGAGGCTGCTGCGGCCGTAATTAGCTTTTGCGGGTCAGGGCCGCATCTCAGGGGCAACGTTAGGAGGGGATTGCGAAGGCCTGACAGCCGGTGCCGCCGACCCTGAAGAGGACCACGACGTCGGCGACGACGTGGGCGGAGACTGCGGCCGTGGAAGACGAGGAGGAGGAGGCCAGGAGGAGGGGGAGGAGGAGG